GTCAACCTGCACATTGTTGTCATAATTTATCACAAGCAAAAATTAAACATTCTCAAATTATACAAATTTAACTACGCAAATTAATAAATAAAAATTAATGAAATCATGAAAAAAACTGTCGGCTCCCTTAAAAAATACGCTATAATGAAGCGAAATATGATTAAAGTAGCTGAAAGATATAAAAATTAGACTGCATACTCTCGAAATTTACCTATCTCATTCCTCGCTCCATCCCCTTTTACCCCCTTTCCGTACTCATTTCACTCCTTGAACAACGGCTGTTTTTACGCTTAGCAAAATTCAATCTTCTCATCTCAAAATTGCTATGCTTCAGTGTATTTTTTCACCGATTATTTCTAATAAGAAATTGTGTGGTATCACAAAAGAAAAACCAATGTCCTTTCCAGATTTTAGAATCTCACAGTTTTACCATTATTGGTTTTTTCTTAAATCTCAAAAAACAGTGGACATCTCCAGGTGACTGATCTGATATTCAATTAAAATACGTGATTCGCTACAAAAAAAAAACACGGCAAAAATAAGCAGCAATTCAGTAAAAAAAAATAAATATTTTCTTCTAAAAGAATAAAATACCTCTTTATAATCATTGACATAGAACGATGTAGTACCCACCGAGTGATTATCGAAACGACCAGGGAATAACTGCAGCCAGGTCTCATCGCCACAAAATGTCAACCTGTATTTTAATAGAAATTATCATAAACGAAAGTACTATATAAACGAAGTTATCAATTATCATAAACGAAAGTATTATAAATGAAATTATAAAACGAAATTATCATAAAAGAAGGTAATTTTTTTCCCGAAAAAAATTTCTCTTAAAGGGAATTCAGTTTTTTGTTGCATGGAAGTGATATGAAAATCAGTTGTGGCAAAATCCCAGCAACAGTCTCAAAGGAACCGCCAAAATATTCAATTACCCTCATGACCTGTGCATGCCTTGTACATATGAAAAATGTGAGAGTAATACTATAAGTTATGAACAAATATTACTGATAGTAATACAGCCGTAGAAATACATTTACGAAAACAGCTGCTGATGGTTTTTTTGGCTTGTTGTGAAGTTAGCCTGGTCCATTTGAAGAGAAAAAAAAACTAGCCTACGCATTTGATTGATTTAAAAGGTAAAGTTCCTTTGTTTTCACTTTCTATGAAAGGCCGGAAGTCTCGAAAATAAAAGTAAGAATAACGGGGTTGCAACTGTTCCTTTTTCTCTAGGGTTTCTTAGAAATAAGCTAATGGCGATTTTAGCCTTTTAATTTGCACCAGTACCAATTTACCATCAAAACGAATGAACGAATCGTAGAGGGAAATGATTGGTTCACAAGTGGCGAAGTCGGATTCTCGATTTTCAACGCAGCACCATTATAAGAAATTAAGAATTCTACCATATCAAAATAGCTCGAATGTCCGCTTTTCACTGTGGTTTTCAAAGCAAAAAAAAATGCGTTATATTGACGTAACGTGTATTTCTTGATGTAAAATCGCCACGAAAAATAACAGGCAGGTCAGAAATGATGGAAATTTTGCACAGGATCGGCAAAAAATTACTTTATTTTATTTGTATCGAAATATTTTTTGAGTCGTTCCTTTGATTTAGGGGGAGAATTCGGGCTGGGGAATAAAGTCAAAAACTCCAAACCAGTTAATACTTTTTACCTGTAACCGTTACCTTTAAGTTGATCAATAATATTGTCATTCGAAATCGATGTGGTCGCAAAATTTAGCACAATATCAGTGAATGATGGAACCACGCCAGCGGTCAGCGCCTATAACTCAAAGATGGAAAAAGTGGAAAAAATCAAGAATTTACTGATTTACTTGAAAAACCTACGGATCTGAGCATAAAATAAAGAAGCGAAATGTGAGTTCCACAAAATGAAAACCCACTAGGCCGATAAGCATAATGTGTTTTCGCAAAAAAAAAAATTATGTTTATCGGCCAAATGGGCTTTTTTTTAAAAAAAAGTAAATCACGTGCTCAAAAAATAGAAAGGAAAGAAAGGGTCGTAGAAGCCCAGTCAAAATTAGTCATTCCAAGCAGGAATGTCGGGGTTGTGGTAGATGTGCGGTGGTAATCTGGAGCCGCAGATAGGCCAAACTATAACATATAAAGTAAAGGTCAGTGCAAACCGAAGGGAATTTAGTACAGCTGAATTCCATACGTTTTAAGGCTGGAGGAATAGAATTTGATATAGAATGGTGGCTGAGTAATATAGTTGGGTTTATTACTTTTATTATTATTGTTAATGTGGAACAAACCATTTGATAAGTTAAATGGTCATGTTCAGGGCATAGCAGGGTGGCCTGTTTGTATTTTATCCTTTAGCTGTAAACACAGACAGTGCAAGGTGCGGTGAGAGGTGAGAATCATCAGAGATGTCAAAATCCGTTTTTGTTACCAATATACTTAAGGTATTTGTTCCAAAGCAATAGGAAAATCAAACAAAACATCATCCGTGAAGTACCTCAAACAAGTTTTTCGACTATTGCGAAAGCTAGTTAACGGAAGGAGAGATAGGAGGTGGGTAAATAAAATGAAGCATGCTAAATGTAATTAAGTAAAATTGTTGATGGGGGAATGACCAGAAATTGCATGTGTATGTGAGATGTTGAATGGGAGGGATGAGAATTGGGTTTTTTTAAAAGAAAATTGATGAGAATAGAGGTAATGATTAATCCGTAATTGTAGCGACTAGTGGTGACCAATGGTAGAAGGACACAAGAGGGAAGTGGTTGGGGAAAAGATAGTTATATAGGTTAGTTATATAAAGATAGTTATATAAAACCGGCAAAAGCGATAGT